GATATTATTAAACCATCTTGCAAGAATTTAGAAGTAAGAGAGTATGATTGTAATAGTTCTAAAAATTATGTATACTTGAATGTAGAAAGTGAGAATGATCATCAGAATCTAAATGATAATCAAAATATGAATGTGGAAGATTCTGATAATGCTGACAGCAGTTTTCAAAGTATAAAGTATGATAATTCAGAGCATAATACAGATTATGCATCAGAAAATCACACAGATTCAAATTCACAAAATAATTCCACTCTTAGCACTGATAGCAGTACAGAGGAAGAAAACATATCAGAATGTTTCAATAATACAGTAACTAGAACTACAAAGTCAGGCAGAATTGTTAGAAATCCGAAAAAATTTCAAAATTTTTACACTTTCAAGTAGAGGTAAACAGTAGACATTAAATGAAGCTAGACACAATCCATAAGAGGGGAAAGAGCTAGGGATATAGGATTAGGATGCTGGACAAGATAACTATGTATGTGATTTAAATGTAAAATGTCCATCGTCATATTATCAATAAACTATGTAATAATTTCAATAAGTAAAATGTACAACATCAAAATATTATGTAAAAATTGTATTATATAAACAATGATGTAAACATGAAAGGGGGAGATGTGACATATTATGTACACCTACACTAGGTTACACTAACCATGCACTAGCACCGATATGTATTGTTCTGTGCCTGGTGCTCTGACTTCTGTGATCTGTGATAAAGATGATTAATAAACCAGTTATCATCCAGCAGTCTTTGAATTCAGACGTCCCGTCTCCAACACTCTCCCAAGTCCACACCACATACTTACCAATTTATAGTTGGTTGTTGGTTCAGTTGGCGGGCTAAGGTATGATGGTATGATGATGTCTATGTCACTTTATCATATTTTGATTTGTAAAATCTTTCTTGTGATTAAGTGCATATGTAGATAATCTTAGGGTAACTACTGCATTAATTTTTAATTTTTAATTCTTCTCATCATGCATTCTGATATTTATTGATTGTTTACAGTTATACATAAAATGCTCATTCCAGGAAAACTTTCGGCTTTCTTGTTTCTATTTTGAGGTATGTAAACAATTATTCCTCTTAACTTGTTACCTATTATGTACCTAGTGATACATTTTGATTAATGATGTTTCTCTCTTAACTTGTTACCTATTATGTACCTAGTGATACATTTTGATTAATGATGTTTCCAAGTTATCCCTTTAGAAAATCTCTGTTCGCCTCTCTGCATATAACTTTACTTACGCAAGAGTGTCCTCTTGATGATTGTTGGTGCACTCGTTGGTGCATTAGCAGATTCCGCGGCACACAGGCAGACCTACATAGACTCATATCACTTCTGTTTTATTATTTTTGTCAACTTCATATCACCTTAGGTATATATATATATTTTTATATTTATATTTGTAACTGTTGCACTATTCCATACCTAGGTATATCACCACCTCTCATTACCTCATATCATGTTATTGTATAGGTGAGTATCCCTCATGAATCACTTAACAATTGCACATCTTAACACTCGTTCTCTTGTTGCAAAACTAGGAGCTTTCAAAGAATTGGTAAATACGAAAAAATACTTTATCTTCACTATTTCAGAGACATGGCTGACTCCTGATATATCTGATGAAGCAGTTTACATAGAAGGATATAACTTTGAAAGACTTGATAGGCAAGCAGGACGTGGAGGAGGTGTAGGAATGTATATTCACAATAGTATAAAATATCAACTAATTCAAACATCCAATCAGATAGAGCAGCTATGGGTGAGTTTCACAGTGAATAGAAAAAATTTTGCTGTGGGAGTTCTTTATAAGCCTCCGAATTTCAACTATACTGAATTTTTAACAAGCTTTGAACTGACCATACAAAATGATTTACTGCAATTCGATTATTTAGTTGCACTTGGTGACTTCAATATTGATCAATTACAATTCAATAGCCCCTCTGCTAGATCACTGTCTATGTTATTAGAAACTTTGAATTATGAACAAATAATTTCACATCCAACTAGAATCAATGGTTTATCACAGTCTCTTATTGATCTGATTATTATCTCAGACCCATCAATAATTAATGACAAAGGTGTAATTGGTATGCATGGTTTTTCTGACCATGATTTAGTATTTTGTGAATTGAAGCTGTCCACCTCCCCTATTAACAGGTTTTGCACATATAGAGATTTCAAAAATATGAATTATGATGCATTCTATCAAGAGCTGACTCTTCTGCCCCTTTTTTATATCGTGGAACTTGATGATATTAATGAGAAAATTGAGTTCTTCAATAACTCATTATTGTACCTCTTTCAAAAATATATCCCCTTGAAACAATGTAAATTGAGAAAAACATACACTCCGTGGATCACTGATGATATCAAAATCCTCATGTCCGAGAGAGAAAAAGCCTTAAAAAAGTATAGAAACAATAAGACAGTACAAAACTGGGATAACTATAAGTATATCCGTAACTTCACAAATAGAGCAATAAATAGTGAAAAAAAGTCGTATTTGCAAACGAAATTTAGTAATGCTAGTGCCAAAGAGTCATGGAATGAACTAAAACGCTTCAATATTACTAACAAAAGTAAAAAAGAAATACCTATTGATCTCCAAAACCCAAATGAAATCAATAACTACTTCATTGACTCAATTCCCAACACAACAAATAATTCTAAAAATGATCTAACTCAATTTTATTTAAATAATACCAAAACGCATATCCCTACAGAATTCAACTTCAAACGCATTAATGATGAAAAAATCTCTCAAATAATCTCAAGTATAACCTCGAAAAGTACTGGCATCGATAATATCAATATAACATTGATAAAACTATGTTCTCCATATATTATTCCTCTTATAACGCATCTAGTTAATTTTTGCATTGAAAACCATGTGGTTCCTAACTGCTGGAAAGTTGGCCTTATTAAACCATTACCAAAAGTATCAAACGCTCAGCAGTTCAAGGACTTGAGACCTATCTGCATTCTACCCACGCTTTCTAAAGTCCTAGAGAAAACTCTGGATTTTCAAATAAGAGAATACTTATGCTCTACTAACTTAATTCCAAACTACCAATCTGGCTTTCGCAAAAACTACAGTTGTACATCAGCATTACTCAATATAACTGATCATCATCATCTCGGCCTCAGATCAGGGTAAAGTGACTGCTGTCGTATTGTTAGATTTCAGTAAAGCATTTGACACGCTAGACCATGATATTTTGATAGCCTATTTACATTATATAGGTTTTTCTAGTGGTGCCAGGCAACTGGTGACCAATTATTTATCTGGTAGGCTGCAGAAAGTTATCATTGGAGACAATGCAAGTGACCTTAGGAGCATGAGTCGGGGAGTTCCTCAAGGCTCAGTCCTTGGTCCGCTATTATATACAATATATACGTCTGACTTCGAATCATCACTCCAGTACTGTCAACATCACTTTTATGCTGACGATACGCAACTTTATATTTCATTTCAACCGGAGAATGTGCAGCAAGCCAATAGGATGCTAAACGAGGATTTAGATAGACTCGTAACCAAAGCCGAAAATCATTCACTGCTTTTAAACGCAAATAAATCATCATTAATTATCTCTGGAAACAAGGCTGATATGGTAAAAGATAGACTCAATGTTATGGTGAGTACACATCCTTTGGAGTGTTCTATGGAAGCAAAAAATCTGGGAGTCATAATAGATAGCAAAATGAGATTCAAATCGCAAGTAACTAATATGTTGAAAAAAGCATACACCAACCTCAAGATCCTTTATAGTAATAGACACATCTTGAATCGACAGTTGAAAACTCTACTATGTGAGAGCCTAGTCCTTTCCCAATTTAATTATGCGGATGTATTATATAACACTTGTATTGATCACAGTGACTCTGCTCGAATTCAAAAAATACAAAATGCCTGCTTGCGTTTCATCTATGGAATTAGAAAATATGAACATATTTCTCACAAACTCTCTGAAATTGGTTGGTTAAATATGAAAAAAAGAAGAATCCACCATGCAATGTGTTTTTATCATAAGTTGATATGCATCAAGTCTCCTGCCTACTTATATAATAAAATAACTTACCGTACGGACATCCACAATTTAAACATTCGTCATAGAGGATTACTCTCCATGCCTTGACACTCAAGTGCTTTTTTTCAAAGATGTTTCTCTTATTCTATAGTAAAAATGTATAATCATTTGGATAATAGCCTAAAAAACATTTCTCTGAGCAGATTCAGATATAAGTTCAAAGAATTCTTGATGAAAAACAATTTCAACTATTTATAAACAAAAAAAAGTGATACTTCCCTATACGAATGATATGCAATTACAGGTTGTTTAACCCAGGGGTGGTATGGGTCTGGTGGTGGTCTGCTTGTGTGCTGTATAGGTATAGGTTTCTATATATATATATATATTTATTTATAAATATAAACTGAATGAACAAAATAATCATCAAGTAGGTTGAACGGTAGAGCAGACGCCGCAGCCTGCAGTTGTGCAGTGCCGTGGTGAACTGAGTTCAACCTGTTTGCCTTCCATATTTTTTTTTTCCAATATGCATTGTAATAACAACGTGAAGGTAAATAAACGTAATTTATTATTATTATTATTATTATTACTTTCGTCCCCTTTTTCAGAAATTGGACATATTCTGGCAAACTTCCACCTATTTGGATACGTTGAACACGACAGAATCATATTGAAAATATATACCAGCGGTTGAGCTAGTACTTTGATACAATCCTTGAAAACGAAACTAGGGATCAAATTGATACCAGCTGTTAATTTATCTTTCAATTCTTCGATTATTGGGTCAACTTAACTAATTTCCGTATGGAGAGGAACATCAAGTAGAGCGTTCAGTACTGGATTTGATTCAATGTACACACTACGAAAGAAGATATTATCTACTACAGAAATCTTATAACTTGTTAATCGCAACATTTCTAAGGTATTACCAGTCGTTGGTATATCTTACCAAGCAAATCCCATTCTCCGTTCGTAATAAAACTGCTCAAGTCTCCGCCAGCGTCGTCTTGTAGTTGGAGATCCAGCTATATGAAACAGAAAATAAAAACTATTTAGAACCAAAACGTGTCCGAGATATGCAGATGCGCAACTATACAGGGTGTTCGAGTATGTGGCCAAACTCCGAGGGGCGATTATATTTGAGTACTTCTGAAAAGTTCACACGAACATAGGTCCTGAAAGGCCTCGTTTTGAAGATACAGGGTGTTGAAGTTGAAAGTATTGATTGTTGCTTTCTATGACCTATATAAGCTCTCACGATGGCAACATTCAGTCTGGTTGGTGACTGCAATAGTCTCGAAATTGCAGAATATTACTCATTGAGGTTATTGAGTAATCCTAATTGGTGTTTTGAGGGCACCCACATTTAAATTTGGAATCAAATCAATTTTTCATTATTTCCCCAGGAACTGTGTGTGATAATACAAAAATTCAATAGGGAACAGGAAATTTGTATTTTCAATTGTATAATCTGATAAAAATATTGAACTTGGATGGAACTTTGACGTAGGTAAACTATTTACCATGAATATCGAAAAGGGAATAACCCACTCCGACGCCACTGGAATCATCCAATGACTTCAAAAGATGCTTTTTGATATACTGTTAGCAAATTCACCAAAATTCATTGGAATTGGGAAACAAAATTTTGAGTATTTTGAAAACGAAGCATTTCTGGACCTATATGTTCATATCAATTCTTCGTCTTAGAATCACAAAAAATAATCACCCCTTGAAGTTTGCCTACATACCTGAATTACAACCCTTATATGGATATGTAGAAGATTATAATGAACAATATATACATCCGATGATTGAAGGGACAGCAAGATACCAAGGGGGACGAAACATACTAGTCGAATTTACGCCTCATCCATCATTATTCGTGATATCGCTTATGTTTTAGTGGGATTCGATTTAGTCATTCATTATTTCAAATCATCACGAATATTTGTTTCTTTAGTGGAAATAATCACCTAAAAAAAAGATAGCTCTCGTAGACGTGATATACTTACCGCCGATAAGTAGGTACTAATAGTGTCATAGTTCTACACAACCAATACAAAATATACCCACATTTCACACGAAAATATAAGAATTTACTTCTACAGTAAGAGTGTACTGATATATCAGAGAGTTGAAGTAATCGTTGTACGTAGACCTCCACGTAGACGTTAACGTTGCCGTTAAATTGAGTTGAAGTCGTCGCTTTGGTTGTCACTGCCATCGTAACGTAATGATACGTTTTGTTTTCGGATTGTATTGGTCATTTTTTATTGTTTCTTTAGATCTGAACATTTATTCCTGAGGACTTCTTGATGCAGAACTGTTCGGGAATCCCGAAATTGATAATTTCGACTCATCGGCATATTTCAAGTAGAGTTTGATTTAACGTACGTTGATATTCAAGGTATACGTGGAAGTACGTGAGATAACGTACAATCGCAAGCCCACTACCAACGCGAACGTGAATAATTGAAAAATACGCATGTGCATGTCAATTTCTACGTTTACGTTAACGTTCATGGCAACACTTAAACTCTCTCTATAATACTCATAACGTGAGTCGTTTCGTATATAACTGCAATGGATTGATCGCGGTATATGTCGTCACGTATCTATCTAGCATATTATTATTCTCGACTTATTCTTGATTTTATGACATAACTATAAATTTCGTTTGATGCATGGATGAAAATAGCACCTTCTTTCAGATGAAAGTCATTGACGACACAACTTCCTGGGAACCAATGAGAGCAAGGCATGTAGATGCTGGAAATTGTAAACCTATAAAGAGTATAGGTAAGTATAAGTATCGACACCTCAAGAGGTTTTTGCTACTTTATGATTATATGAGAATTGATCGAAATTTCAAGGGTTGTACGTATACTACAGACAATTGATAAAATTGTTCTGGGGTGAGTACTTACTGAAGTAAGTATCATGCAATTCACTAATTCTATGATAACAAACTAAAAACACAAACTGATAATATCAGTGGCGGAGCTACAACATATCTATTGAGATTCAACAAAAAAAAACAAAACTGTCAGATGTAGGCATGAGTAGGTACTCAATCACTGGATCAGAAATCCCTGGCAAGCAGAATAGAATCCACGGTAATTTTTTTTCCGGTTTCGTGTTTTTTTTTAGCATGGCGTGAATCCAGTTAGTGATGATCAGTTCCATGCTCTTTTCAGCCAAGGCAGATCCAATGGCATTTTGGTAGTGAACCACCAAATGCTACTGCGATATAGAGAGATATAGGCTCATCGCAATCTCTTTGTTCTCGAAGGATTTGATGATTTTCACTGATATCATGTTATAAAATGCTAAATTTGTCGATTTGATAGGTTAGATAGGAATACTGGTGATTATTCAGGGAGATCTATGTAGTAATTCAAATGATTTTCAAATATTGATCGAAATTATGAAACTTCAATATCCAGTCAGCAGCAAACTCAAATGCAGATTAACAAATGATGTTTTCGCCACGTTAGACAGTTTGAACGAACGTTTTCTCCCTCAACATCACCCGTCTATCTCTTCCAGGAATTTCAATGTTTGTTATTTCAAGTAGCAATCGCCACAGTTTTGAGGACAATCGAAGCACATTGTCATGATCAAAACGTGAGAAACTCAACTCCATATGTATCGCCCTGTAGACGGTTTTCTCGAAGTCATAGTATCTTTGCTATTTTTGCATCAAGACGTTTATTTTTTTGACCATCCTAGTAAGTAACGTCAGAAATCAACACCCACGACAGCTTGCCTCACGGCCCTTTTCATTTGATCGCTCGATACTTAATCGTAGTTTTAATTTTTTTTAGCTTAACGCGATGCGATAAAAATCCAATTGAGCGTCAACGGAAGTGCCTACTCGCAATGCCTCTGGAATGACAACTTAATGAGAAAATATGTACTGAAGAACCTCGTAACTCATCGGAAAAACATTCCGAAGTCTGGGGATAGCTTAGTGATAGTTATTTTCTTCATTCGTCATTGTGGGATTACCGGGACCCAGATCAGCTAAGGGTATTTCCGTTAGACTGGAATGACTTATTGTCAAATGAAAAGAAATATTTAATCATTAATTATTTCTCACTTGATTTCGAATAAGCAATGACAGTCGTTGCTCGTATAATATCATCAGTTATCATAAAAAATGGGGCTTCACTGTTCGTTATACTTAACTAATAAAAGCGGTCAATAGTCTTCAATATCCTACAATTTAATGTTTGACTTTGAATATGTACATACATACGTGTCTGGATGAGATTCATTAGCGGCGGGGTGAATATTTTTTCGAAAGACATACGTCAACGATTTGATGTATTTACCCACATTTCACGAGCAATCTCGAGGATATCTCCCTTCCATTCTGGTGTAGCTGAAATCACCCCCAATAACATGATATATTTTAATGTAACCCTATGGCTTGTACTCCCTCATTATAGAACTGGTGGAAGGAGGAATTCAGCGTATCAGTCAAATTTCAGTTTTTCATACGTTCAAAGGTTGCATAAATTTGGAATGTAATTCATGAATTCAATTTTTTTTCAACGTATCAATCGCTCAGAATGTGTGTTGAACAATTGATGGCAATTTTTTGCCACATCTGCTATCTGCTATTGTATTCCAGTTTTTTATAGAGCAGCAAAAAAAAATTAGTTGTTTGCCGTAGTCAAAGTTCGAAACGAAGTGTTATTGCAAACTGGTGGAAATGCCTATTTTAGTTATGGGGACATTTAGGCAGTGTGAATAAAAACAACTTCAGACAGTTCGAAGTACTTGTTTATTGATAGATTGCTGAAGAGTGAAAGCATCAAACAGTTATGTACATGCATCGAAAACAGAATTCATATTCATAAACAAGCAGTGGCGTCACTTCTCTAATTCACTTTTTGATTAGTTCTATTGAAATCCAATACCCCCCCCCCTTTAAAACGTTGGGAATAGTACGAAAAATAAATACCTATACATACATACATCGTAAAAATGATATAACAATAGAATATAATACATATTGTAGTATATAAAAATTTCATGAATAATGCTTCATCTTCATTTACTTCAAAGCAATTCCCGCCTTAAAAAAATAACTGGTCAGCTGTTGTAGAATAGATATTATTCATTTCTTCTATATATAAAATCTCTGGTGAAAAGATACTTGATATCAATATGTCTCAACCTTTCATAGTGCATCATATGGTGATTCATTTTTACCAGTATTGTCTCTAGTATTGTCCTCAAATTTTATGATGGGTTTTTGCTAGATTCACATTTATTCACTAGTTGAATTTTTGAGCCATGAAGCTTCGTTAACTCCCTCAGAGAGTGCTATATTTTGGCTTATGTTGACTACATTCCAATAGAATGTTGTCGTCTATCATTTCATGAGATTATGAAATTTCAAAAATAAATTGAAAACACCCATTTTTATTATTATTAAGTCTGCATTTGTATAGCCAATCAACATATGTTTCTACTCACTCATATCATTCAAAACATACTTACGTGAGTTTTGAATCCAATACCATTCACATTATATATATATATATATATCATATATCGTAACCTCCATGCCCCTTATTGAAAATTTTCACTATTCTTCGGAATACCTACTTTGGTATTTACTCAAAATTATGATAGAGAAACAAAAATTGGTCCATGATGTTTATAACATCGCTTTAGTATTCTCACAAAGTTCATTACTTAATACCTTCAACAAAACTGTACCAATCGCAATTCACCATAAGAAACCAATAAAAAATCCTCAACTCTTTCTGATGGAGAAGTTTTGACCATCATGCAAGAACAAAGAAATATTTGTATATCTCTTGGGGCGCACTACAGAAAATACCTATCATCGTGTGAACCTAGGGAGGATTGGGAGAGGAAGTAGGAATTGGATTGATTCTGAACTCCTGAAGATTATATGTTCTTGTAAAAACTTCCTTTTAAAAGGAATCCTGAAGGTTTGCAGGTCAATAGGCAAACAAGTTATGATAAAGATTTGTTCGATAAATCTCGAGGGTGGCGACAATGGTATGTGCTGACTGGGCTTGTCGAGTTAGTCTGACTGGTGTTGCTTGTGATGGAATGATAGCAGACATTTGTGAAGAACATTTCCGCTGGAAGTATCTATAGAAAATTAAAACTAGTTCACGGTATGCTTCGAGGATATCGAAGAATTAGTGAGTATGACATCACATACCAAGCAAACGTCTCATCTCTGGATAGAGTCTAGAAGCATCAGCGTATGTTTGAGTGCTGAATTCCATTTGCGGGCACTGTATTCTAGACTATGGATCGTATCTGCGCTTTGTAGATCATGTGCACCTGTTGAGGTGTGAAGTTATTTATATAACCAGCAAAAAAACTCTAATTTGAACTGTATTTGGTAGTGTCCTGTTCTCTGAATATACTACAAATACCAATGTATCGGTCAAACGAGAATGATTTGCAAAGTTTGGAAAAAAAACTTCCCATCCAAAATGTTGTTATTTGAAGTATCATACACCATGAATCGTGATTGTGCAGTTACTTCTCCCTGAGTTACATTATGCATAACGTTCGATATAACGAACTATATTTTTGACTTGAACAAATGGAACATTTTTTCCACTAAAAAAAATATTGAAAATCTATTTCCATAACCTCATGCACTAAAGGGTTGATAGGCCTACCAAGAATAGTACCTACATACTAAGAGAACAATACACAAACATCAGGTCTTACTCACATTCCATTTATCTCAAAATATTCACATCATGGGCTTTTTTTTATAGCTTTTTGAGATGCAAAATTTTTTTTCATCTTCTGAAAACTAATATTTGGCTTATTTTATTTCGATAGGAAAAGTATGACAAACGTAACATATTAAGTGTGTTTTTCACTCCATGAGTGACGTCATCAATTTTCTGACGGAATTTAAGATGGAGCAGATGCTGCAAAAGAATAAACAACACTTTGATCGAAAAATGACTTTCGTTGTATGTCAATCTACCATGTATCTTCTGAACCAGAAGAGGCTGAAACGTTTTATTGATTAACACCAAGTCCATCTTCTGAAATCTCTCGAGAATCTCAATATCGATATTCTTCGTTTCCTATCGAATAAAAACAAAGAACAATACTAAAAATGTGTCAATCTCCTGGATTCTCTCAGAGCAAATTGAAATTGCGCAGCAACAGCTTCATGGATTTCCATCAACATTTCAGCGGCAATATCAACAGTTTGATGGTTCCTTCGATTCATGCGCATGACAAAATGATGAAATGAAGAACGCACCCATTGTTTTCATATTGGTGTAGGCCGTTTTTTTCTCTCTTTATTGGAAACACTCCTGAGAATTTGCCACCGCTAAAAATTTGCCGCTCTTGGCCAGTGCCTAGTCGTTCTAATGGTTAATCTGGGCCTGGATCGAGCGTGATTTCGGAACTGATGATTGATATTCAATACTTACTTGTAAGCCGTCATACGTCCAACTGCCGAATTTCATTTCGCAACGTTGGTCGTCGAAAGGAAACCACGTTATGTCAATTTTGCACGTGCTCTTGAAGATGCCAGGCGGGACGTACAAGCAGCTTCCGTTATTTCGCACCACTACGTTGGTAGGGTAGGTACCATCAAAACCCTCGTCGGCACTAAAATGAAAAATAGAGAGTTTCCATGGATACTGTCTGTGACCACAAGGAAATTATCAATCAACAAAGTACATCTTTCAATTCAGTAACTTCGAAAGTTATATAACAGCAGAATTATATACCCAGGACAATGTGAATTATTTTCGATTTAATGACGTCATCTTGACGTGCAGTATAAAGATCATAATAACGTTTCTAAGAAGTCATACATTCTTCTGTCTGACTAAATAAATGAGTGGGGCGTTTTTGTCAGTATTTCCGTGTATTTATATGAAATTTGAGTTCGAATGTACGTTATTTAACAACGTTAAGCTCAATTCGCCGACTCTCATTCCCATTCTAGAAAGCAATATCAGAGTTTGAACAGGTACACTGTAAGAAATCCTTTTGAGTGACTGCGAATTCGCTAGTGAATATTGAGAGTATTTCCACAATGTCCAATAATGACAATGTTTTTGACAAATTTGATTGGATAGCACAAAATTTGGAATAGAACAAATCAGAAGACCATATGAAAGTGGCTTTTACTCAATCATTAAGTAGATGAAACATGTGAGAATCACTCACTGAGAAAATGTATTCATCGCCATAGCTAATTTTTCTGCTGTTACAGCTAAACAATTTGGCTATATAGGGGACAGGCAATATCTTCACTACGGCAGAAGAGAGCACTTCACCGACAACGTCATCCTGTGGTAGCAAAGATACTTCATAATGAATTCAATTACAGTTGGAGCAAAGTATCTTTATTGTCATAGTAAAGTCACTTCTCTGTCGTGGTAAAGTCACTTCTCTGTCGGAAAGTAACCTTACTATCCCGAGAAAAAGGTTCAAATCTTTCATTCTGTTATTGGAAAGTGAATCACTAATATACAGAAGAAATATTTGCTGCTATAGTGAAGCGTCTATTTCAGAAGAACAGAGTTCTTGCCAATAGCAGCATGAGTGTTTTCATTGCTAGTGAAAGTTACTTTTCTAAAAATAGCAGAAATTTTCGATGGAAATATCTTTTGAAGTACGCTGGTACCATTTAGCCCGTCGTTCAAAACTAGAATGAGCGTATCTCAAACTTCTGAATTTTCAATAATTGGATAATTGAAAGTTTCGTTGGACGCGTTAATGATTTCACTTTCGAAGTAATTTGCTGCTATATGTTGCTTATGTGAGAGAATGGACTTCGACTTGCTAATACAACCCTTCGATACTTTCTTAGTTTGAGAACGTATATACATTGGGGAATTGATAATAATAATTACAAAAAAACAGAATAGTAAATTTGATTCTTACTTCTAAAATATCATCTACTACTATCAGTAGAAAAAAACATTAAGGATAACGGTAGATTTATATGAAATCACATATAAAGGTAATAACCCAGCGAGCACAAAAACATCTCAGAGATGTTAAAAGTACGAGATGTCGAGTTGTTGGACCTCCACTGCGATGTTCTGTTCACACATGAATAGAACTTTCATAGAACAGCGGCAATGTCCGCCGCAGACGGCGTTTATGAAAATATTCTCGGGGTGCCACAAAATTACATTCTCCCTGTTTTTTGAAAGCCTTTTTATGGACACCCCATAATCTTTCCAAAGAGTTTTGCTGTGCACATTCAATCGCTGCAAACAAACCATTCCTGGAAGGTATATTATCGAAAAAAGAAGAAAATCAAAAAAGAGTAGTCACCGGCGGGAAAAGCTCTCTTGTGATTGAATTTTCACAATTCTTACACACATTAAACTACTGACAATTATTACCACTTTGGAACTGATAATCTGATCATTGACTCTAGACCTTATGCCAGACCCCTCAAATCGACCAAGTCATTATAATTTGTGGAGCGGAATGAAACATACCTAGTGTTGCTGGGGTCATGGGTGGTAAAAAATTCGGACGGAAGGGCATCATGGGGAGGCAGCTTTTAGATATGGCAGCTGTTCAAAATGGCGGACGGAGGCGAATATGTAAAGTTAATTATCACAGGACTGGGTGGATAAATCTTGTATTCCATTTTATCAAAATGTTGGATATTTTTTTGGCAATTTTTTGGCCTATTGATCTATACTAGAGAACGTATTATTCATGTGTCGACACTCGAAAAAATAGGGAATCATATTTTTGAAACTCACATTTTACGGTTCAATGGACTAATGGTTGGGTAATATCGGAAAAATAGATGAAATAAAAGTTGTTGAGGTGTACTCATCCTCAGGACGCAGAAAAAGATATGGGAGATCAGATCAATAGAACCCAAGATAACTAGATCGAAAGCAAGCTGAGCGAAGTCGATGATGTGTTTCGAACGCTCGGTGTTGCCTATAAACTTGATCTACTGATGTGCTCTATTTGTAACATGAATATCATTATTAGAACGAAGGTGATAATGTTTGTTAACAGAATTCTTTGGTTATTAATCTCACATATTATATGAAGACGGAAAAGAGGTTTTCCGAAGAATCGAAAGAGAAGAATAATTAAATTTGATTTCAAACCAAATGATATCGTGAAATTGATTCAATTCTGAAAGAACAAAAGTCTATATTCATTCATCGATTCTCCAAGTCATATTCATCACACATATTCATGATCAATAGGGATGTTTACAAAGTTCTGGGAATTGTGCTATCATCAAATTACGCAAAATTTATTGTCAAAAGTATTGGTATTACCAGACAAGTCTTTTGACATTTTTATGCAAATATTTGAAGAAATATCGATCATTCTGAGTGGGTAAATCAGCAATGCCGACTAATGAAGACGGAATAACAAATCGACGGAGTCTTCCACCAAGTGTTGCCTATCTTTTACATTTCTTTCACCGTACTGATGAGGGCCGAAAGCCCAAAACACGTGTTTTCGGTTAACTCTTCTTGAGGGCTATATCCAATGATTTTTTTGTAGTTGGCTTAAAACAGTTTCCTCAAAATTTCATTTATCTTTATTCTTCTTCTGGACTCTGCGGCTAACTCTTCTTGAGGACTATATCCTATAATCTTTTCGTAGTTTGCCTCAAACAGTTCTCTCAATATTCCTTTCATCATATATATACATATATACAGGGTGTCATAAAATACCTGCCTGATCCAACGTAGTTTGGACATTCAAACACCGTTCAGGCATATAACCTAATATTATTCCGCTAACCTACCCTTGCGGGGAGGATGAATCCACCATCTAACCTACCCTTTCAGAATGATCAAGTAGGCCTATGACAGATGACACGTGAGCTAACTAAACATGACAGATGACAGATGACAGATGACAGATGACAGATGACAGATGACAGATGACAGATGACAGATGACAGATGACAGATGACAGATGACAGATGACAGATGACAGATGACAGATGACAGATGACAGATGACAGATGACAGATGACAGATGACAGATGACAGATGACAGATGACAGATGACAGATGACAGATGACAGATGACAGATGACAGATGACAGATGACAGATGACAGATGACAGATGACAGATGACAGATGACAGATGACAGATGACAGATGACAGATGACAGATGACAGATGACAGATGACAGATGACAGATGACAGATGACAGATGACAGATGACAGATGACAGATGACAGATGACAGATGACAGATGACAGATGACAGATGACAGATGACAGATGACAGATGACGTCATCTTGATGAATGATCCAGAGATCACAGCCTTATAACCTCATCAAAACAATTTTTGAATCAGCTAGCACTCATATCGAAAGTTCTTGCAATCATGATCGCACCATATTAGTTGGAATTCAAACACTCTGAGTTTTTCGCTTTGAATTGATCGAAGAACATGTCTGGCGACTCAAGCGCTTCGAGAACATGCTTCAGATTCATTTCGTCCTGCCGAAATAACACCAACAGGTTACAGTTGTCTCGCACAAGCTGCTTCGGTATCTTGAAATAGGTTTGGCATAGGTATGCCACGTCAATATCCTAGTCTTCACACGGAGTATTTCGAATTGTCTGCTGCCTGTCACAAGATTCGTCATCGAGAATAAATATCGAATGATTCTTCGCTTCTGATGGACTAATGACCTCGTCATTTCTTTCGTAGGGATAACATACAACGCCTTCCACTAAATCTTGAATTTTGTGCTATTTGGATTGAACAGTAGGAAAAGCATCGTATTGGTCTTTCCACATCCATTTGATACGTAGAACATTGCTTGTGTCCCATGTTTACTACTCGATGACTCGATTGAAAAATTATCGATGGGTAACGCCGTTATTGTTGAACGATCCCCATCATGTGATGATACATTATTTCGATACATAGGTATATGCAGAGTTGTCGAGCTGCCTACACGTCATGTTTCATGTAGCTCTATCACGGAGAGAGTATGCTCAATTTTTTGATCGATAAAATACCCATCGAATTACACATTCCAGGTTACAGAGTTTGTGGTCTATGCACAAAATTTGATAAAAGACTTACTAGAGGAGATACCGGCATCAATTCGTTGGACGACGCGTGTAGAGAACACGATATCACCTATTCGCATCATTCCTCATTAGGAGACAGACACAAAGCTGATTGGATATTGGAAAATAGAGCGTGGAGAATAGTCAAGTCGAAGAACGCTAAATTCAAAGAGACAGCTGCCGCTTGGCTATTCAGCAACGGGATAAAGGTCGAATGATAACTCCACATGGGTCTTGTATCACGTCAATTTTTATCTGACATCATCAAATTCATAAAAAAACATCAATGTCTTTTACGACGACAGATGGTGGCAGTTCATCAGGAAGTGGTCTAAATAGATCTGCATTGAAAGCACCCCGAGCAGTCAAAATGGCAATCAAGAAGGCTGACGGTGAACAAAGAATCAGAGTACCCAGAGTCATACCCCATACACACAGTGGAGGCATCCTACCATTGATATATATTTGCTGCCCTCGGAGCCCTAGGATCTCTAGCTGGAGGAGCCAGAGCAGTCGCAAAGACAGTCCTTGATGCGAAAAATGCGAAGAAAAAGCTCGA